GGGCCGGCGCCGCTCAGGGAGCGAGGGGCGGGCGGGGGGCGCGGCCGGCGGCGCCGGGCTCGCTCCTCACGCCGTTCTCCCCGCAGCTGCTCCGTGCCGTGCTGCCGCAGCCACCGCGGTGAGTGCGGGCCGGGGGGGGCGGGTGAGCGGGGCTGAGCGGGGCTAACGCGGCTGTGCCCGCAGAGCGCTGCGCGCCCGCTGCCCGGCGGGAGGAGGAGGAGGAGGAGGAGGAGGAAGCCGGGCAGGGATCGCCCCCGGGCCCCGGCGGCAGCCCCTGCGGGCACCGGGGCCGTGCGCGGAGTGCGGGGCGGCGGGCGCGGCCCGGTACCGCTGTCCGCGCTGTGCAGCCGCTTAGTGAGCGAGGGGCGGGCCGGGGGGAGCGGGGGGCGCGGGCCGGCGCCTCTCCCCGCAGCTGCTCCGTGCCGTGCTGCCGCAGCCACCGCGGTGAGTGCGGGCCGGGGGGGGCGGGTGAGCGGGGCTGAGCGGGGCTAACGCGGCTGTGCCCGCAGAGCGCTGCGCGCCCGCTGCCCGGCGGGAGGAGGAGGAGGAGGAGGAGGAGGAAGCCGGGCAGGGATCGCCCCCGGGCCCCGGCGGCAGCCCCCGCGCTCCGGAGGACATCCCGGGCGAGGAGGAGGAGCAGGACCGCGTCCCGCCGCAGAAACTGCAGCTGCTGGGTAAGGAATCCAAAAATCCTGCGCGGAGGTGGGAAAAGGAATGGGATGGGATCGGGAAACGTGAAGGGAATGGGGTGGGATCGGGAAACGTGAATGGAATGGGATGGGATTGGGAAACGTGAATGGAATGGGATGGGATTGGGAAACATGAATGGAATGGGATGGGATCGGGAAACGTGAATGGGATGGGATGGGATCGGGAAACGTGAATGGGATGGGATGGGATCGGGAAACGTGAAGGGAATGGGATGGGATCGGGAAATGTGAAGGGAATGGGATGGGATTGGGAAACGTGAAAGGAATGGGATGGGATTGGGAAATGTTAAAGGAATGGGGTGGGATCGGGAAACGTGAATGGAATGGGATGGGATCGGGAAATGTGAATGGGATTGGGATGGGATCGGGAAATGTTAAAGGAATGGGATGGGATCGGGAAACGTGAAGGGAATGGGATTGGGATGGGATCGGGAAATATGAAAGGGATGGGATGGGATTGGGTCTGGGAAACATGAATGGGATGGGATTGGGAAATATGAAAGGGATGGGATGGGATTGGGTCTGGGAAACATGAATAGGATGGGATTGGGAAACGTGAATGGGATGGGATTGGGATGGGATTGGGAAATATGAAAGGAATGGGATGGGATTGAGTCTGGGAAAGGTGAAAGGAATGGGATGAGATTGGGAAATGTGAAAGGGATGGGATTGGGATGGGATTGGGAAATATGAAAGGGATGGGATGGGATTGGGTCCGGGAAACATCACACGAATGCTGGGTGTGTTCTGTCCAGAGTTCAGCTGTGTTGATCTCCTCTGAGCACTGTGGTAAATGCAGGTTTTAGCACAATATTAAAGTAGAAGCCATGTGTAAGATACTTTTTGTACCAGCCCAAAGAGTGGCAGAGATAATCCAGAGATTCTTTGCGTTGTCCTCTCTGGATGGAGACAACAAAAACACTGAGATGGCACGAGGAGAATTGTTGTTGTTCCTTGTCAGGAAGGCCCAGACCTTGAGGAGCCCAGAAAATTGATTTACAAGATGGGGGCAGCTGAAATTGAGCAGAAACGCCCCGGTGTGAAAGGAATGTTTGAGATCCCTGAATGAACAACAGGCTGTTGCTTTAAGGGTTAATCCTCTGTTAGCAGGGGCTGCTTTGGGCAGAGTGGGACACCTGTAACTCTTTGCTTGTTATTGTCTTTTATTGTCCAAATAATTCTTATTGTCCAAATAATTTTTACTGTCCAAATTTTTTTTGTCCTAAGTCTTATTTTCCAAATTCCTATAGTCAAAATTCCTACTGTCCAAATTCTTACTGTCCTAATTTTTAGTGTCCAAATTTTTACTGTCCAGATTTTTATTGTCCTAATTCTTATTGCCCAAATTCCTATAGTCAAAATTCTTACTGTCCAAATTCTTATTGTCCACAGTCTTACTGTCCATATTCCTATAGTCCAAATTTTCACTGTCCAATAATTCTTATTGTCCAAATTTTTATTGTCCTAATTCTTATTGCCCAAATTCCTATAGTCCAAATTCTTACTGTCCATATTCCTATAGTCCAAATTTTCACTGTCCAAATTTTTACTGTCCAAATTTTTATTGTCCTAATTCTTATTGTCCTAATTCCTATAGTCTAAATTCTTACTGTCCAAATTCTTACTGTCCAAAATATTACTGTCAAAATTCCAATAGTCAAAATTTATTGTCCAAATTCTTACTGTCCATATTCCTATAGTCAAAATTCTTATTGTCCAAATATCCTACTGTCCATATTCCTATAGTCCAAATATCCTACTGTCCATATTCCTACTGTCCAAATTCCTATTGTCCAAATTCCTACTGTCCAAATTTCTATAGTCAAAATTCCTGTTGTCCAAATATCCTACTGTCCAAAATCTGCCAAATTCCTATTGTCCCAATTTTTATTGTCCTAGTTTCCATCACTATTTAAATTCCCCTTCCCATTTCTCTTTCCACCACTACTGCACTTGTGAACTGCTGACCGAGCTCCCCGGCTGCGCTCCTCCCCGCGGTCTCCGGCCGTTCCGTGGCCCCGGGCGGTTCTGCCGGCCCCGCCCGGCTCTGACTCCGTTTGTTCCCCCCTCCCTGGCGCAGGGGAGTCCGCGGAGCTGCGGGAGCTGCTGCGGAACCCGCACCTGCGGCAGCTGCTGCTGGGGCTGGAGCGCGCGCGGGACAGGAGCGCGCTGCTGCGGCGCCTGATGCGCGAGCCGCTCTTCGCCGAGTTCGCCGACTGCTGCCTGGCCATCGTGGAGCCCCCCGAGGAGAAGGAGAACCTGCTGCCCCACTGAGCTGCTTCCTTTGGCATCGAGGTTTTTGTTGTGTGGGCTTTGCCAGAGCTGCTCTCGGTCACTGTGCCCTCAGTGTCAGTGCTCTGAGCTCAGCTGGCTGCTGGGACTCATTTCTAGATCCTTACCTGCATGGAAATTTGGGATTGGAGTGGGGGGTTGAACTGGACAGCTTTGCCAGAGCTGTGCTGTGTGTCTCGGTCACTGTGCCCTCAGTGTCAGTGCTCTGAGCTCAGCTGGCTGCTGGGACTCATTTCTAGATCCTTACCTGCATGGAAATTTGGGATTGGAGTGGGGGGTTGAACTGGACACTCTGTGGCAGTTCAACAGATTCTTTCTGTTGGCACAGAAATGCTGGCGGCACAGGAAATGTTACTTCACAGTGACAATATTAAATATATTCGCATTTATTTTAATCCACGAGGACCCTGAAATGTTTTTGTTCACTCGAGGTTGTTGGGAAGGGCCAGACACCTTGACAAGGCATTGAGCAGTTTATTTTAAATGACATACACAGAGCAGCTGAACATTTTCAAGGGCCACGAGCAGCCAAGGGAGGGTTCAGAGCACTCCTGGGGAGCCCCTGGGCAGGGTGGTGCTGTCTGGGGAGCTCTGCACACACCTGGCAGCTGTGAGAGCTCACAGATTTGGGTTCTGTAGATAAAAGCAAGAGCCCAGCCTTGCTTTTCCCTGAGACATCTGCCCCTGTGCTGCAGCTGGCTGCTGCTCAGCCCCTGGGGCCACTCGTGGGCAGTCAGGAGGGTTGCAGGAATCAGGAATATTTATTGGCATTATTTGCAGTGCCAGCAGCATTCAGTTCCAGTATTCATTGCTTCAAGCACCTGATCTGTTGGAATTGATTTGTTCCCATAGTGTTGATATTTCCTGTAACGTGGGGGGGAGCAGGAGCTGCCCCCACCCCCAGTAAATTTAATTTATGTTATTGTAATGTGCATTATAAGGGTGTCCCATTCCCTCACGTTGGACGTACAAGGCAGCGCTGTGGAAGCTCTGAGGTAGCAGCAGAGGAGGACTGTGAGTGATTTGGAAGCAGCAGCTTGCAGAGAGCCCTCCTGGAGGCCAAGGCCGGGGCAGAGCTATGTGGGCAGCAGCTCCTGTCTGTCCAGCAGGATCTGGTTGAATCCCGTGATGGGAAACGCCTCCGAGTGGGGGCTGACGTTGGCAAAGTGCAGGGGGGACCTCCTGCAGTGGAACTTGACAGGGCCCTGCAGGGACAGGAGGGGAGAGTTCAGCCAGAGGTGCAGCTGGTTTTGTTACTCACATTTAGCTCTGGGGTGTGTGAACCACGGGGGCACGAGGACAGAGAACTCCAGAGGAGTCCCCACAAATGGTCACTGGAGGAAATGGCAGCACTGTGAACTGGGCTGAGGTCAGCTCAGGCTCTGGAGGTTTCAGTGCTCAGCTCTGGGCCTGGCACAGTTTGCAGCAGCTGTGGCAGCCCCTGCACACAGAATTTGATGCAAACACAAAAATGTTTCCCCCCCAGACCCGAGGGTGGATGGAAGTGCAGTGTCCGAGGGAAGGCAGTGCCAGCCAGTGGGAAATGCCATGCCAGGCTGCAGCCAGGAGGGAGGGGGTACCTGTGGGAGGGCTCTGATGGAGGCGATGCCACAGCCCTGGTGGCCCCTGGGGCTCTCCTGCAGCCCCCCGAGGCAGCCCAGCAGCGCCAGCGCCCGCCGCGGCCCCGTGGCGCTGCCAGGGGCAGCAGCCAGCACCAGCCCCAGGGGCCACAACTGCACTTGTGCCTGCAGAGGCCACGCTGTGCCCACAGGGCAGGGAGCCTTGGCCAGGGCAGCTCCAGGGGCTGGCAGCTCCTCTCCTCCTTCCCCCTCGTCCAGCTCTGCTGCTGCCAGCGCGGCCGCTTTCGCCTGGAAAACACACAGTGACAATATTCTCACATGTCCTGGGCCAGCTCAGGCTGCAAAGCTGAGTCTATAAAGAGGGAGCACAGCACACCCCAATTTCCATGCAGGTAAGGAATGAGTTTGTGCTGCAGGATGAGCCAGAAGCAGCTGTGCAGCACTGGCATTCCTGTTCAGCTGGAGAGGAGTTTTCTGGAGCACTGGCTTTGCAGTTCTCACAGTTGTTACTCTTTCCCAGACCCTGAGAAGCCTCAGGCTCCTCCTCAGTGCTGCCCTGTGCCCCAGACTCACCTTCCACCTCCTCCAGCCCTGCTGGATGACACGGGCAGCCCTGCACAGCCTCTGGAAGCGACTCTTGGCCAGCCAGGCACGAACAGCTGAGGAGTGGATGGGAGAAACCTGAGTGCAGAGAATCTCAGCAGCTCTAGCACACACTGGAGGTGGCACTTAGCCACTCGTGCCACTGTAACCCCCCAGAGGGACTGGAGGTGTCCCTTGCTCTGTTACTTCAGCCCCACCCCACCAGTCACCTGCTTGGATGAGAGTTGCAGAGCGTTTCTCCTTTGCTGTTTTCTTCTCTTTAAATCTCCTCCAGCAGCACTGGATGCAAAATGCCTTCTCATTTAACACCTCTGCTCTCCTGGCTTCCAGGAGCTCCAGCTGCAGTGGGGAACAGGAGCCTGGAGTTAGGGATGGAATTGTGCTCTTCCCTCTTTCACAGCCTCTGGGTGTTTGCCAGGGGACCACAGCCTCATTCCAGTGTCCCATGGCTGCTGGATTAGCCTTGGGAAGTGACTTTCAGCCCTACCAGTCACCTGCTTGGATGAGAGTTGCAGAGCGTTTCTCCTTTGCTGTTTTCTTCTCTTTAAATCTCCTCCAGCAGCACTGGATGCAAAATGCCTTCTCATTTAACACCTCTGCTCTCCTGGCTTCCAGGAGCTCCAGCTGCAGTGGGGAACAGGAGCCTGGAGTTAGGGATGGAATTGTGCTCTTCCCTCTTTCACAGCCTCTGGGTGTTTGCCAGGGGACCACAGCCTCATTCCAGTGTCCCATGGCTGCTGGATTAGCCTTGGGAAGTGACAGCACTCCACTTTTCAGACAACATGGAAATTAAAACAGAAATTATTGGAAAGGAAAGTGGAGCCTCCCACAGTCCCAGCAGCAGCAGCAGGTTCATACCCAGCTCCACTGGAGGGGCTGCTTCTAGGGCTGCATTCTTAGCAGAAGTGCCTTTGACTCCTTCCTCTCTTTCCCAGGGCCTGATGGAGCAGCCACATCTGTCACGTGGAGCTGAGCAAAGCTGCCATCTTTACTGGGATTCTGACACCTTGTCCAACACACAGAGCCATTACACAAAGGGCAGAGCTGGATTCTCATGGGTGCTTGATTGAGTTTAATAATTGGATGGAAACTGCCCAGCTCTGGTCACGCTGGCTTGGCAGGAGCTCTGCCTCTGCCTGTGCCAGAATGGCCCTGAGGCAGGAGCACTCAGAGGCCTCAAACAAGGAACAGCACTCACCAGGGAGTTGGCCAGGAACACTTTGGTTTTGCCACAGTAGACTGAGGGGATTCCTGCTCCATCCCCTGCTGCCAGAGCAGGGCTTTGTCCCCTGACAGCTTCCTGAAGGATCTCCAGCACAGCAGCACGTGGTGCTCTGCCATCACCCATCCCTGGAGTCTCACCTGCCAGTGAAACAGTGAGGAGAAGGCATCACAAATTTGGAAATGGGGGCCAGGGCATTGTCTTTGCACTGAGATTTCTTGGCCATTTAAGAGGGGAAACACCTGCAGCAAGAGGGGATGGCTGGGAGCACTTGATCTGGCTGTGTTAAGGCTAAAATGTGACAGCACAGATTCCACCAGGTGCCAGCAAGCAGGAAACCAGTGTGGGGTGTTTAAACTGGGCTGTGGTTGGGGCTTCTCATCTCTTATCACCTCTGTTCTCCACAGGTAAAATTGTCATTTCAGACTGAACCAGGCTCAGGTGTTCTCCCATTCCAAGCATCCCACATGGAAGCAGGAGAAAGCAGCAGCAATGCCATTAAGAACAGACTGAGCAGCTCAGGCCTAAGAAAATCCCATTAAACACTCAAAACTCAAAGCTGTGGGAGCAAAGAACAAAAGGCAGGGAATTGTAGCCTTAATGTACTGAAAAGTGCAGGAAGGGGAAACAAATTCTACACAATTGTACAGCTGTCACAGGGCACTGGGAGCAGCTATGGGGTCCTGTACTGAGCAGGAATTTATGGCAGCAATTACAGGTTATTAAAGCCATTTCTGGGACACAGTGCACAATTTTATACATTACAAACAGGTCAGCCAGATGAATCTCTTTGGAAATAGAGATAGACTTAATTCAGACCTGGAACAAGAGGTTGTTGCAGGAGTTCCTGCATGCACAGGCTGGATGGGTTTTGCATCATTCCATCCTGGATACTGTTTGTTTTTCTGCTATAAATATTTCTAAGGAGATGAGAGCATTTTAAGGTCCTGAAAACAAATAGAAGCAATTCTTGCTTACAGGAAGACATCTGGTGGCTCTGATGATGTTCATGGGGCTGGGCTGATAAGGGAATCAAAAGCTTATCCCTGTGTTTGGGCAATTGTTTTGCTTTGTTTGCAGCTTATTACCCCCTCAAGATATAAAGGACTAAAAACCCATCACAAAGAGGCTCTGCAGTTAATGGGTTTGTAATTGAGGGGGAAAGATCCACTGTGTAAGTAATTTTCCAGCCTGCACTTCCTTACTTCACCCCATTTCCACAGGGTGAACAGATTTCCACCAATTTTACCCATCTGAACAGGCTGGTCCTGCTTCCCACAGCTGCTGCTGGTTGAACTGACCCACTGGGTGAAAAAGGGGATTCACTGGGGGCACAGAAAGGGGCTGCAATAACCTTCAATATTTAATGTAAGCACCTGATGAGCTCCTCCTTTCAGGAGCTCATAGCAAAGGCATTACCTGTGGGCTGGATTGTGTTTGTTAAAGTCCATCCTCACTCTTGCTTAGAAAAAGAGAAGTTTGCAAAAGGTGGAAGAAGCAGCAGAGTCCAGGTAAGCTGGAAGGTCAGTGATTCAGCAAGGAAACAAGGAGGGGGGAGAAAGAAAAGGAAAATAAAGCAAAAAGTAAGTGGTTTTCAAGTCTACTAAAGAATCAACTGTAAATAAAATTCTATTGGGTGAGGGGAACCCCAGACACATCAGTAACTGATTGTTCCACCCAGGAGGAGCACAGAAAACCAGCAGTGAGGGGTAAGATTTGAAGCGTTAAGCAAATTAGAAACAGAGGTTGCTGATAGGTTACAGAAATATTTTGTGAATGGTGCTGAATACAGTAATTACCTGATCTGTGTGACACCAAATGGGGGCAGTGACAATTGTACTTGATGGCAGAGGGATTACCTGAAGAAACTGACCTTTTTTCTCAGCAGGATGAGAGCTGCTTTTATCCCACACTCTTTTTTTACTGGAGCCCCAGGATTTCCTCAGGAGCTCGTAGCGCTCAGTGAAACTTTGGAAAGGGATCCTGGGAG